AGCTCCATTTGCCGTTTGTATTTACTTTCATGTTCAATAAACCACCTTTACACCTTCACGACTGCCTGCACTTGGATCCTCCTTCATTTCCTCCACACGGCTCACCTCACTCGCCGTGACAGTCATCACATGAGGCCAAAAGCTGAAGTATTATACAAATTACATTTTTGACTGGTTTGGCCTTTTTGTTTGTTTTCAGGATTCTTCACTCAGTTTTGCACAGGTCTGGATGAAAATGTTGTCATCCATGAGGTTTGGCTCAACTTTGAACTTGGAAGGATTATTTACCAATGTGGGATTTCACATTCTGACTTGTATCAGAATCTAGTCAAGAACAGCTCTAGTTCTTTGTTAATTTTAAAGTATTTTGAGGTTTGAGAAGATGGAACGATGGACCATAACCGTAATTTAGACGTATATTAACTTCACAGTAGTGCTCAGTGGAACTCAGAAAATGATCACTGTGGACATCCTCAGTCCTCTGATGAAGGGGAATGTCCTTCCATGACCAAAGCAACATCTGAACTCATTATTATTAAATGTATCCAGTCAAAGCTCAAGTGACTAATTCACAACATGATCTGTAAACTCAAACATAACATTATCAACATGAAGCGTGTATGAAATAACCAACAAGAGACTCACTGATTGTTGTATTGTTACTTTAATGCTCCTTCAAACTGCATTTGATTAGGTTTAAAGTACAAAGTGACACCTGAAAAATGAAAGCAACAGCGCCCCCTTCAAAGACGTACAGTGTCTTATTTTATCTGACAGAGTTGATAGACTGAAGTTAAATTAAAACACCCAACTTCCCAGACATGTTGCACAGTGGGAGCATGGCTCTTTATGTAAATGTGATGAGGTATTCTGGGTAGGCCTGGATATCATTGAAGACCACAAACATGATTGGATTTGCAGTGTCATTTGTGACGCTGTCATACAGGTCTGAGGCACTCCCAGATTTAGGAGGAGGGGTGATCATGCCTTTTCGTCCTTGGGTGTAGTCTCCAACTAGAACTCTGGCCTGGTACATGCGCTTGTGTCCGCTGGTGTCGGGCGTGGCGTAGTTTCCTGCTGAATATGTAGGGTCCACAGCAAAGTAAGAGCCATTGCCGTACATTGCACCTGTGAACAGAGTGAACAAATTAACTGAATACTGGGTTTAATAGACAGACAATTTAAAGTGGAAATTAGAACGCTGCATCTCCACTGTGCTCTCTGCAAAATGACTGCAGCTCACACATTTACTTTACGACACAACAGATTTTAGAGACTGGCTTGGATCCCAAACATGTCAAAATGTGGGGCATCCTTGTAAAACATCAAACAACTAGAATGAAACAGACACTTATCCTTACAGCTGAGATTGGGGTCATAACAAATGTGTGTTATTTATTTTAGCACAACTATGGCCAGAGTTTAAACCTGTTCACCTCTTGATGCTACATGATGTACATCCCCCATGCTCAGTTTGTTCATTAAAAAAGTGTGGGTGAAAAAAAGCATGAAGGAGTTGTTCTTTGAATGGCAAGATTCAGGCGATGATATCTGATTTAAATGCTTCCAGAAACACACATCAGCCCATCGGTCGAAGGTTCAAAACTGCTGCAGCACATGAGCTGTCTCCTTAAGATTGTGGTAAAAAAAATAAAAAAATACAAAAAAATGTACATAATTAGAGATGGACGATCTAATATTACGTATCGGTCAAATACTGACGTAAATTACTGGATCGGATATCGGAGGGAAATAAAAAATGTAATCTGATCCATTAAATATCAAAAAAGCACCTCACAAAACTTCCCACACGGGTAACTCGGCTCATAACCGTAGCGCGTGGGAGCAGTGTGCTCACGTGATAGAGCGGCTGTGTGTGTTTGTAGCCTCAAACCAGAATTTCATCTCCGAGGAAGTGATCCCAGAGAGAAGTAAAGCAAGTGTGTAAGTTCATCTCTGAATGTTTGTAAAGCATTCCCGTGTTAAGCTTAACAACCGATATATGGAGCGACTCCCTCTCTCCCTCTCCTGCTGCTACTTCAATCATGAAACTGATCAATGATCAGCTGATCGGCTTTTCTGTCGCCTCTCTTCTTTGTTTTTGGCCCACTTTGCACCAGAAAGAGGAAACCAGCAGCTGAACAACAGCTGTTGTTAGAATTTATTTAATATTACTTTCTACACCAGGATCTTTTTCTAAGTAGCTGACGGCTGGTAACTGTGCAGGGGCGGATCTAGCAAAGTTTAGCCAGGGGGGCCGATAGGGCATTAACAGGGAAAAGGGGGCAC